ATACAAAATAGGAGCAGAGCAAACACGGACCTCCGAAACATCAGAGGTGGGATCAGGTGCCATGGAGGACTGAGCATCCCCTGCTGACCGGTCACACCCGCCGTGTGCTCCTTGTCATGATCAGGAAATAATGGAAAAATCCGTCGTCAATTCAGTGTGAATAACAAAATGGAATAACAATTAGTATGAAAAACGTCAGTCAGCATTTGACTCAATGATAATTTTTATTTGCTGACAAGGTCATTGTATCGATCATAGAACTTACGAAATGATGACTTAAACGAGACGGCAAATATTCTTGTTTCATCAACTTGCTTTTCAATTTACCTCGTTTTAGAAATTATTCATACGTAGAGCAAGCTCTTGCGTATCGAGTCAACTGAGATATATACACTCCGTATGCAGGTGATGAATGTATATTGCTGTATAAGTAAGGGAAGTTGACGATAGAAAAGTTAAAGTCATCACGTTTATCATATAGCTTGGTTGTTAGATTACCATTAATGTCTTTTTCAAGTAAAATATCCAAGTATGAAACAGATGTGTCAGACTCTGTGGTATATCTTTTATCTCAAGCTCACCAGGATATATCGTATCGACGTAGGAATGGAAATTACCATTGTTAATTGACAATACGTCGTTGATATATCTAAAAGTCGAGTTAAAGGCCACAGCAAGTGTCTTCTTCTTTTCACGTATAAGATTTTGCACAAATTCTGCTTCATGTGAATATAAAAATAGGCCCGCTAATAACGGAGTGCAATTGGTACCCATGGGAATTCAAAAGATTGTCGGAATACCTGGTCTCCAAATACCACATATATATTGTTAATCAGTAACTAAAGCATCTCTTTGATGTCAACTTCATAGTACTTGTGTGTGCAATCAGAATGTGTTTTAACAAAATAATTTTGCAAATGACCAATGAGCAGGTAAGTAAATGGAGAGGGCTTATACAGGCTTATTACAGGCTGCTTTGTCGACAGGGACCAGTACGTACTGATCATGTAATCTAATTCTTTTTTCACTTCTGGATTTTTGAACACAGATGGAGGATACATGGTTTTCATACTGCCCCTCAATCTTTTAATACGCGACTTTAACATGGATCTAAAACGGATAGCAATAGGTCATTGGAATGTGCTTTTTTATGTTTCTTTACCAACAGAAAACGAATGGCAAATCAAAACCTTTATTGAATAAGAAAACAAGAACTCGATTAATACATCTACATTACTTACTAATCAGAGAAGTGTAAAGCATTCACAATACAATTGTATACAAATACATATATATTGTATATATATATACACTTTATTGTTGTAAGATATCATGTAAAAAAAAGAAAAGAAAAAAGAATTATAATAAAATACAAAAGACGGTGCTAACTAACCCAGAAAGCACTTGTGTTGAATGAAATTTGGAATATATAATTGAATATAATATATATATATATATATATATATATATATATATATATATATATATATATATATATATATATATATATATATATATATATATATATGTATGTATAAGAAAAAGAAAATGCAGTTTCCAAATTTCATTTAACGCAAGCGCTTTCTGGATGTAATAATCCGTCTTCAGGTGTACATAAATTGAACTAATAAAGTCACCTGTTTCAATGTACAACAAGAGGTTAAATACTGCATGCAGCGAATAAGATATACAATAATGTGTTATTAATTAAACAACTGAATCTCTTAGCTTGCTAATGAACTAGGCAGAATTTATCGTAATGATGGTATTAGTACAAAAAAAAATCATTATAAAAATTAATTAAAAAAATTATAAAAATTAGACCAAGTGACTTTAATTCATATTCAAAAAAATTGTCACATGTTCTAAGACATAAAAAGTTTCTGTCCCATGGATACATTTTGATGTTCGTGAGATTGTTCCAACAAAAATAACAAAAAGTACAATGTTGTACCTTATTTGCAGTATTCATTTATAACAGGGATGCAATGAAATTTAATATGCTTTCCCCTAACTAACACTGAATATTAATGAAACAGAGTCAAAAGTTAAGATAAATCTTTTAGACAGAGTAGTCAATTCTAAAGTTGATATTATTTCACCCTCTTTATTTTTTCACACAAACCTCTAAAAATATAACGAAAAATTACTGTCTCAAGCGGATTGTTTTTACCCTCATGTATTATAATTGAAAAAAGGGTGTTTACACAAATGGATGTCTTTAAAATTTGATGAAACAAAAAAAAAACCCAACCCATTAGTAATCCGGAAACAAGAGGCACACTGGCCTTATAGGTCACCTGAGCATCATGCAACAAATGATTGAAATTGGTACACGTTTTAAGCTAGATGCTATGGCATTCACAATTTTGAAAGACTGACACCATTGCTCATCATAACTATATACTTTGCAATTACTTAGTTTCGTTACAAAGATTTCATGTATTTTCACTACATGATTAATCAATAGACCCCCACCCTAACACTAGAATCCCGACCCTGGGGTCATAAAATTCACAATTTTGGAAGATGCACTCTTGTTCATCATAACTATGTACTCAGTTAGTTTATTTAATACCCAGGAGCAGAGAAGATTTTCAAAGAATTAATACATTTTCATAATCAATCTAAGAGCCCTTACTCTAACACCACAACTCCTGACCCTGGGGCCATAAAATTCACAATTTTGGTAGAGGTACTCTTGCTCATCATAACTATTTACCTAGTCAGTTTACCGTAATACCCAGAAACAGAGAAGAAGATTTTCAAAGAATTAATGCATTTTCACTATATAATCAATAGAGTCCCACCTTAACACCAGAGCACTTGACCCTGGGGCCATAAAATTCACAATTTTGGTAGTGGCACTCTTGCTCATCATAACTATTTACTTTGTTAGTCTATTTAATACCCAGAAGCAGAGAAGATATTCAAAGAATTAATGCATTTTCAATATATAATTAATAGAGCCCCGCCCTAACACCACAACCCCTGACCCTAGGGCCATAACATTCACAATTTTGGTAGAGACAGTCTTGCTCATCATACCTATGTACTTTGTACATAGTTATGTTGTTCGTAAGAATAAAATGAAAGAAAACATGGATATTATGATAAATCTTTGATGCATACACAATGCATTTATACAAAAAATGACGTTAATGCATCACGGAAAAAATAAATAACCAAGCTATTACAACTGTAAGTATTATTTATGATTTAAATTTGCATATAAAACATACATTATTGAATAACAGAAGTTTTTCCTTTGGAGTTCACAAGAAAATAAATAGTGGGGGCGAGTGTCTTGAGTGGGGGCGAGTTGTCCTAAAAGGGGGGCGAGTTGTGTTAAGAAATGTTGGGGCGACTTGTCTTGGGGCGAGTTGTCCTGATTCCATCTATATAGCCTAACGCTGGCACTAGAACCCCTTACCCTGGGGCCACGAATCTCACAATTTTGGTAGAGGACTCAATGCTCATCACAATCATGCTAACAGTTTGACTGCTTGATGTCCAGGAGTAAAGAATATTTTTAAAGATGGCACTTATTTTAGTGGTTTTGGCCCCACCCCTCAGGCCCTAAGGGGACAGGGACCATGAAATTCATAATTTTTGTTTCCCTTTACCTATAGATGTTTTGTGCCAAAATTGGTTGAAATTGGTTAGGCGGTTGCAGAGAAGAAGCTGAAAATGTTCAAATGTTAACACACGACGCACACCGCACGACGACAGATGAAAACGGATAGCAATAGGTCACCTGAGTTTACTCAGGTGACCTAAAAACAACTCGTTATTTTAAAACATTGGAAATTGTTGAAATTCATAATATGATTTTAAATCGAGTTTGCATTACATATCATGTTTTAGAAAAGCTATATGTTTACATATTAGTACATATATGCATAAAATACTACACATTAAACTTAATCCTTTATCTTAAAGTTAATCTAAATAAAAAAATTTCAGTGCTGAAAACACATTTCAAGCATAATTACTTCCATTTCTAGACAGACTAGAAAACTTAATTACTAATGTCCCCTCCTTCGAACAAAGCCATTAAATACACAACAAAGTTCTAAACAATTGTTAGTAAAATCGACTTTAAAAAAAAAACACAAAATCGACATGGAGTAAGAAAAAAATCCCAACAAAGTGTTAGTTGGTACATGTACTTTAAATAGATACTAATAATCATTTGGGATTGCTCGATTTTTTTAAGATGTGAAAGCAAATACATAGAAACCTATATTTTTAGATTCTGGTCATCTCTACCCTTTAGTGTTAATTTATAAATATTTTTTCCTAAAAATTTAACTCGTACTCATTACTGTTTGCTCTATACAACAGTCTACTGATCTAAAAAGTTAGCAAAGGAACAGAAAATAGTTTAAACGATCAAACATGAGTTGAATTTGTAAAGAAACTTAAGTCCATGCAAACGAAAACCCAACACCATATATTAAAAAAAAGCAAACTATTTATCCAAAATCAAAAGTTTGACTTCTTATATGATAAATATAATTATATGATGTAGAAACAACAAAAATACACAATTTTAATGAAATAATCTTGAAATGGACCATATTGGCATTGTTATGAGAAAGCTGAAAGTCAATACACGTTGTATTTCAACACTTTGCAAAGTTCACTCGCATTTGTATCCTAATATTAAAAATGTCAAAAATGATGTTTTATTAGAAAAATACAAACAGTGTCTAATACTAAGTAAATATATATAAAATCAAATGAAAATGTTATAAAATTATTATATAGAGTATAAAAATTCTAATATGTCTCACCATACTTTGCAAAAGAGATCTACACATATGATATTTCAGAAATGTTTTCGATGCAAAACAGAAGCAGAGAGAGAGAGAGAGAGAGAGAGAGAGAGAGAGAGAGAGAATATTCACTTCAGTCAGGAATATATAAAATTCCTTTAATACATGTACTACTCCTTCATCTGAAGTACTTTCACTTTTCACTAAAAGTTATTCATGTTACAGTTTGGTGTTCAATAAAATTGTCCATGCATCAATACAATGCTCTCCCTTAACGTCTTGAGGAAAATCCTCTGTATCTGTCAACGTGTAGCTATTTTCTCCAATTATATCTTTCTCTTTTTCCAATAACTGATCGCTGTACTTTGGTGTTTCAATATGTCCGTACAGGGCTCCTTTCAACCTAAGAAAAAATACTTCTGTAACGAGTATCTTACGATGTGCAAATGAATAATTATATGTAACCAAAAAGCGAGAAGATATATATAGAATAAAATTTGTCGTTTTTGAATTCTTAGATAATAAAAAAAAACACACTTATAATGCGATATGTTCATTCGTAAAATCTTGGCTTAAGAATGCAATTCTACAAAATATCATCCAATTAGTGTTCCTCAAACATATCTGTTGAGAAAGATTTTTTTGTTTTGAAATTTTATTTCAGAGAATCACGCATTTCTTCAAGTTCAGTCTTTAAAAGATTGTCCGAAAAATGAAGGAATGAATACCTTTTGTGCAGGGAGTGCAACAATGGTCGTAACATTTTACTAACATGCAGTATGAAACACGTTTTAAATAACAAATAATTTGTACATGTCTCATTAAATTTTGATAAATGATTGAAATCTTACATAGCAATAACAAGTATATTTTTATCTGTTAATGTTGAGAATGCTTCAAGAGTACGTAAATATTGTTTGAGTACCAACGTGAGTACCAAAAAAAGCTACTACAGTTCAATAATAAATCTAACGTGTGGATGTAATTTAATAAGTTATTGACAAAAAGTTCACTGGGCAAGGGTGAAATGACATTATTTTAATTTTGGAACACTCCTCGTATGTGCAATTTTATGCAAAAAGGACAATATTTTCGAGTTCAACAGCTGTCATTTTCTGAAAAATGATCAAAAATCAGAATGAACATCTCTGATATGTGTGATCTAAAAATAAGAACTTCCTTTCTTAAAACTGTAGGAGGAGTTTTCGGGATAAAGGATGCACCCTTTATCCACAAAATGACTAAATTCAACAGCTGGTATTTTCCCTCAAAAATCAAAATTCAAGTAAAATGCACATTTTTGGTAGGTGCACATATGATCTACCAACCACGCAAAAATCTTGAAAACTGTAGTATACGGAAACCCATTTAGGACCTATCGAAAAATATTTTTGAATCCGATATAACGAATTGTCTAATTTGTTATAACGAATTTAATTCGTTATAACAATTTCTTTGAATTTGTTATAATGAATTTAATCTGTTTTAACAAATTTGTTGATTTCGTTATAACGAATTCAAAAATTTGTTTATACGAATTAAACTCGTTTTAACAGATTCTAAAACTTGTCATAACGAACTGAATTCGTTTAAACGAATTCGACAAATCGTTATATCAAATTCATATATATTTCTCAATAGGACCTGATTATTAAATTTGATTGAATGAATTTAATTCGTTATAACAAACTTTGGAATTTGTTTAAACGAATTTAATTTCTTATAACAAACTTTAGAATTTGTTTAAACGAAATTAATTTGTTATAACAAATTTTTGAATTCGTTTTAACGAGTTTAATTTGTTATGACAAATTCATAGAAATTGTTATAATGAATTGAATTCGTTATAACAAATTCGACAATTCGTTATATCAAATTTCAAAAATATTTTTATACGTCCTAAATGGGCTTCCGTAGTAGTAGTTGTTATCGGGACAAAAGAGGTACTCTTGTATACCACCAAACCGCCCGCGCTTCCTACAGAATTTTTCCTTCAGAAACCTAGTTAAAATTGAAGTTGAATTTTTTTTTTAGGGTACAATAAAGCCTAAACCATGCCTTCTTCCTTCCTAATTTACGAAATATGTTCAGGGTATTGCGGTTTAAACATATTTAAGTGTAAACAAGGGGAAATCAGACATTAGCTATTATTTAACCACTGTAAGACCCTAAATATTACTCCATATTTAAATAGTCCAGTTGTTCGTCTTCCACTTCGTCGTCCTCAGCAGCAATTAGAAGCATGATACAATCAAACCATTGACGCTGTAGAGACTTGGTTTTCCTTTTATCCAATGAATTCAGGTATTGTACAAAGTCCTGCCGTGTTTTCTCAGATAGTGGGTGCTTGTAGTCTGCACTCACAGTCTCAAAACCATCCTAAAAATACCAAACTTTTCAATATCCAGGATAAACATGCACCTCGATGCGATTTTAAGCTCAGTATGAACATTTTTGTTTATTCGTATATTTAAGAAAATACTTAACGTAAGTTTTGATAGATTTCAATCCACAAACTATTATTATGTAGACACATAAAACGAACAATGAGAGAGTTTTTTTTTTTTTTTTTTTTTTTAAATTAAGGTATATCACTCGTCAGCTATTTAGAAAAGTTCACAAAGACCCTCTTACTTCAAATCTATTGATCAAAATTAAACTTTTATAACATATCTAATTTCAACAATGTTAATGTTATAACATTCAATGAAAAAACTGCTCAAAAGCTACATAGAAGCAAGATTTATGAGGGACTATTTCTTGTGGTGGAAGGAAATTTAACAGATAATTCTGCAAATCTGCACATTTATTCAATTTAATGTCTTGGAACTTTAGCCTCACACTTTAACTCGGAGAATATTTTCCATTATGATATTGCTAAGAATATTTAATATAGATCTTAATTTATATTTTTAGAACAAGTTTTACACCTTCCTTCAAGAAAATTTGCCAAAAAATGAAGATATGTCAAATAAGTCAAGATAAAATATACAACATTTTTCTCCTGAAAAATCAAAAATGTTGACCAATATTTCAAAATTAACATCACTGACCCCAACTTTTTCTTTCATTATTTTAAAGTACTCGATACTTGTGACTGATCAGCACTTAAGTCGTAAAAAGCTTGATTTAAGAAAATGTTTTATTACCTATTTAGTTTTTTAACAGCCCAAATATGTTACTTTTTAGTGCAAAAAAGGTCACACAAAAAATTACGCGCATGAATTTGCAAGATTTGTTCTTGATAAATATTAATCAAAGTATTTTACAAAAAATAAAATCATATTTATTGTCATGGTTAGATCTGATAAAATATGATAAAGGTTAAAGTAATTAACCAAAGAGTTAAAAGTTAAGTGCAAAAAGGTCAACTTCATTGTAACGTAGATCAGTTAGATGAACACTGACCCCCTATTTTCTCTGCGATTTTGAGTCACTCTATATGAGTACTTATCCAAAATATACTTCTCAAAAAATCCTTGATTTAACAAATTTCACGAGTGACAAAGTTTTGACTTACTTACTCAAAGAGATTCTCTTAAGCATGTTAATTCTAATAATTAAATTAATAAGTTTAAAACCTTTGTGTTTTTCTGTTGATATTGAAAGATGGGTCATGATGCATTGCATGAGCAACGATCATAATCAGAGCAAGTTATAACAACATGCCAAGAAAGCAGGAACATTTGACGTCTCTTAAAAATGATTCCAAGACAATATCCTTCATTTAAAAATCCTTTTCTAAGCAGCTTACAATAAGATGGTATCATTTTGTGGAAAAACACAATACATAGATCTACAACTGCTAAATTTTAGTTTCATTGAATCTAAATTAAGCTAATTTTTTTTATCATAGTGGATAATGGATAAATTAAGAATATTACATTAAATGCATATTACCTGTTTGATTTTCACTTGCTTTTCTGCTCTTTTCATGGACAACAAAAGCCAAAGACACTGACAGTGTTTTAAGCAACATATTTGCTGGGTCTGTAAAAAATGCATTATTTGTAAAACGATGACTTACTTTTCAGCTGATGTACCCCAAGGACCCAAGATGCATCAACTGACAAAGTTTGATGATCATAGGCATTAAAGTGTCCAAAATATTCAATTAAAACAATATGAAAACAAATGTCTGTCCGCTTGAATCTCTTTTTAACCCCCTTCCCCGCAGTCACGCATTTTAACGCATATAGCATTTCCTATTTCTAACGCAAAATCACGCATATACCGTTTCCCCGCAATCACGCATTTTCACGCACTTTAAAAAGTTCATTTAATCTTAAATTTAATGCCAATTTCCTTCTATTTTATGCTTGCAAAATTCTCATCAAATAAGAAAAGTTATATTTGTATCAAAACAGTACGTCACGATATTATTTACGCTAAACTTTAGAGAAACGTGTACCTCGCTTTAAGGTGCTTGCGGGGAAATGGTAAATATCTATTTCTATGAAGTGAACATTAAGTGTATGTTGCATAACAGTTCAGTAAGTTGTAAAGAGTTAATATATACGAGAAAGTGATCTTGCGTATCGAATCATTTGAGAATCATAAACCCTATATACAGATAATAAGGATATTTTGCTACGTAAAAAAGGGAAGTCGTAAATTTAAAAGTTTATCATAAAGATCATAAAGCATTGTTGTTAGATTGTCACAAACATCATTTAGTAGTAAAATATATCCAAATACGAAACATATGTTTTGATACTCTGCACTACCATGCATAATGTTACCTGAAAACTTTACAAACCGATATTTTATTCTGATGTATATTCAGTGAATTTTTGTACGTACGTCTGTGTATGAATATGATACTTTTTAATCAGAATGAAATCATAAACGGCTGAAGCACTTAAAGCTTTTTTAACTGTGCAACAATGTCTGAAAATTGCTCCTATTTTGTAATGTCTAATGGACTTTTGAGCTCGAATGCTGTTCATTTTCTTCACATTTTTCATGGAATTAATGGAATTATTAATTTTCTCAATTGTTATCTTGGACCGTTAATGCTGATTTTATGGTTGCAAACTCGTTATTATCAGCGACACATCAGCACAGGCAATAAACGGATATTTCCCACTGTTTTAGTTTAATCAGCAAAATTGGTCCCAATTAACGAGTTATTATTCCTATTCTTAGGCCACTTAAGCTTGTTTGATGTTTACATCTTATTTCGTTGAGTTTGTTACAACTGAAATACAACACGAAGTGATTAGATTTTGTATCGTCCTTTAAGACTTGACATCAAAAGTTTAACTGCCTACAACATAAGTATTGTAGCATTGATTGCTATGTAGATACTTTTTGATTAGAATTATGTAAGACAAAAGACAAATCAACTACTAGATATCATTTACCTGATTTCCTAGGGCAATTTTTTCGAACCGAAGAGTATTCGCAATATAGTGGCAAATTTTCTCATCACAACTTCCACCAGTTGCTTGCAAAAACCGAATGACTATGTCCAAGCCATCCAGAATAGAACAGATAGCTGAGATCGAATGGTACTCACTTTCCACTATTGCCATTTGTGCTTCACTGAGAGGAACCTTAAAAATACAAGATATAACAAACAGACAGTACAAGTATGATACCTGAAATATCTTTATACGATTTTAAAAAAGTTTTCCTTTTTGTTCTTTCAGGTCAGACGATATGTTCCTCAGATATCTATATTGTATATCTTCGTAAGACATATTCTCAACACTGGTTTAATTACAAAAAATGTAAGTTTGGTTATAACGCTATATTTTATAGGATAAAAAATTACACTTTATATCGTAAAAAAATTTGAACGGTTGCCTATGTCACATATTAAACTAATGCTGCATATGTCAAAAACGCATCGATTCGCCCGACATTACCATTTATTTTATATTTTGTACAATTTTTAGTCATTTTTAAAGGCAATCATCTTATTTTCTTTTACTAAATGAATGAACATTAAATTATAAGGGATGAATGTAATGACCTAATCATGCTAATTTATACAGTATAAAGTAGATCTGAACAGTTTACCCTTTTTAGCCGGGCTTATTGCTCAAAGAGCAATTGCCGGCTTATGTGATCCTGTTCAAAGCAGGATGTTAACCCAATAGTCGCCATTTTAAAGTTACGTGCAAAAATATAGTTCTTACACTCAACCGCTTTTGACATAATACAAACGCTAAATAAAGCAACAAAAATAAAACGAAGTTTTATCTATATAAAATAAACATTTGTAGTAATGACTTTGAAAACTTCATAAGTCAAAGAACATAGTTCATTAGCGTAAGGATTTTTGATAATCAGTGTTACCGTAGTTCTCTACACATACGAGGTAAAGCAGGAGGGGGAACCAGACTGGCCTGTTTGTTTACATTCAGCTGCGGTACCAGATTAATTCTGATTCTGACAAAATCGGACCGTGGTATTAGGATTGAAAAACTCACTGTCAGTGTCTTATCATTTATATTGATAGTTTTAAAATAATTTTTTCATCAGAATATAAACGTGATTCATGTAAGAAATCCATTCTACTCTGTAAATGAGCCCGGCTCTCTGTACTTCTGAGTACTTTGATTATAAACTGCTTCGCGGTTAAAAGAGCGTAAACTGCCTCAACCCATTTTTTCGTATTAAATAGGTAGTTATTCATTCCTTAGTCATTAAAGAACAATAGAACAGAGTGGCCTAGACATGACGTTTACACAGTAATTTCCACTTCAGCAATTGGTCAATTACTATTAAGTGATTATCTATCCGAAGTGACTGAATTAATTATCTCCATATCAGCTGAAATAATACTAGTACAGGAAAACATTCAGGGTATTTTGAAATTGCAAGTTGAATTTTAAGAAATTATACACGCAATTTTATTATATTATTCGATTAAATGATTGCAGATTTTCAAGTCGATTTGCCATCGTTCTGACCTTATAACGGGTTAAGCAGTTACAAACACTTTGATACCCGATGATAAAAAAAAATTGTAATGACAAGAAATAAATAAATACCAAGGGAAAATCAACTTTAGTTATTTTTGATATGTATATTTACACGGAATGTTATAAAACTTGTCTAATCAAAGCTAACGAAAGCCTATAATCCATGCAGCTTAAAAATAATGATGTTATACCTGTGGAACCTTGCTCCTTAGAGTTGCGAACATTTTCCTATCAGTTCTTTCGTTGGAAAACCGCATAACTTTTATCTAAAAAATATACGAGGGTTGTTAGAAAAGTTCGCGGACACATTGAATTACGGAAAATCTATTGTGTTCGGTGAAGTATGACCTATGTCTGAGTAAATTACTACATTTTGTTTATTAGTATGTAAAAAATCAGGTCCATTTACTAAAATCTTAAATATTTACAACGATTTTTACTATGAGGTCATATGATTCACGGAGCAATCCCTTGACGTAAGGCGACGTGACAACCAGATTTCAATCCGTTAAGCTTTGTCGCAGTTTTATAAATCTTTCCTTTCTTCAGATTTTTCTTATCTTTTTTCTACTTTAAAATTGAATATCTATATCAAGACATGTTACCTTTCTAATATAATGTCTTTTGTACTAATTCGGATTGTATTGATTCGGATATTTTTGAGATCTTTAAAAACGTCTATGCAGTAAATCGATCAGGTATGAAAACTATGAAAAACCATATGGGCACAACGTCCATGCGATAAGAGGGTATTGAAGTAGCGATGGAGTTAATCATTCAAAATGTTTATCCTTCCATTTATATGAAGTCATAACCATTTAAAAATTTTGTCCTTTGTGTGTGTAGGAAATTCCCGGCAGCATCTTGAAAATTTCAATCTCTTTTAGACATTTTACTGTCTACACACATAATTTTTACGTAGTGCAGTGCTCCATGACTCTTAATGACGTTCCGATTTTTGGCTGTGTTTTTACGTGTTGATCATTTATAAATGGCTATAAAACAGTCATATACTCTCCAATTTAACTCAAAATTTCTCCAAGTGACGTTTCATGAATACTTTAGCGATAGGTTAAATATCATAAATCTCTTTGCGCTACAATTGTGCAATTTTTAATTTTAATAAAGAGTCTTTGTAATGTAAACGTGCCAAAATGGAGCATGCTCCGTGAAGCAAGATTTATCAAAATAAAAAAGCCGAATATTTTTCAATGATCACCGGAGAACACCAAATTTTTGTATATTTATTGGAAAATAGGTTAAGATTTTATCTGGAAAGTTTGACCGGTTTCGTGGAAATAGCGCGCTCACAATAGAACTTGTCCGCGAACTTTTCTAACACCCCTCGTAAATACCAAGGTTGTCTTTGAGAAAATTTACAAAGAATACTGTTTCTCATATAAACAAAATGATAATGGACCTTATTGAGTAAAACAATCATGCAGCTCGTATTATCTTTAAAGACGAATATTAATATTTTTCATTCATAGGAAAAAAATAACTAGTTTTTGAGTATCAATGTGTATCAGCTTAACCCCATGAAAGAAATGCACAAGAATTCTGGGAAACTGGGTATGAATCCTGAGATAAAGATTTTTCTTTTGCTATTTAAATTTTAATTTTTAATAACTCATATTACATGTATTACTAAGCTTAAAATCAAAAACGCAAGAATTTAGACAAATCATGATGTATAAATTCATTTTAGATATCTTGGCTCTTAAAGGATATTTGTAGCAGACCTTCTTTTCCTCAAATCCAGGTTTATCACCTAGAAATTGAGCTTGTAACTGACGTTCAAAAGATTTAAAGTCAAATTCCACAAGTCTTTCCTGCTCCCGAACATCATAGTGAGTGTTGGCTAAAACCATTGGCATTATATCCCTCTGTTCCTCACATATGATTACATCTTTTCTCGTAGCTGTATGCGGTATTATTTTTGGCCATGCTGCAAAGCTATGGAAGCAAAATAAACAAACTTTACAAGTACAGTGAAAACTGTCTAATCCTACACCTGTGTAATCCATCACACTGTAAATTCTGACCTAAAATCTATTTCCCATTTTTCTAATTTTAATGTTATTTTACACATTCAATTCGGCACACTGTCTATTCCTACACGAAATTCGTCTCCCATTGAATGTCGGATTAGACAGGTTTCGCTGTATAATTATTGAAAATGAAACTATAAAAAGATTGAATACTGCTCCATATACCGGTATTTCATCAAGAAGTCTAGATGTAACGGGTATATGTAATCTTTAAAAGTACAAACGAAATGCTTTAAAAGTTATGAAAGTTTAAAAAGTTTAAATTTAAGTTATATCCAAGGACTACATGAGTCAAATAATTATTGACTGACTAAATACTTCTACTTCATATGGAAATGCCCTAAAAATCTACAAATTATTTATGATCTTGTAAATATGGTGCATTTTAAAATAAAATAACATAGGTATCTATTCTAAACATCTGATTAATTCAAATCCATCCAGATGTCCATGTGCATTCAAAGTAGCAAGGCACTGATTCGAACTCGACTTCAACACATTTGAGTATAAATAGTAGATTCTTAAAGGAATAAATAAGGTTAGTGTTTTGTACTTCTACAAATCGTTACCTGGTATTGGATATCCCACAACACTCCTGAAGAAACTGATTTTGAAGTTCAATCATATAATGGACCATGACGAAAGAGATCATTCCTATTCCTTCATGCATCGGAAGAAGAAAGCCCAAAGCATTTTTATGCGTCAAATTCATCTCACAATATTCTTTTGGAAAGATGACTGTAGATATTGGTCCATTTAGATTTTTCCGAATTGTAAATTCTTAAAAGAGATTGAAATCGTTTAAAACAGAGTCTGAGTTCATACGGTACATTTTTTGTATGTCATATCAGCCCTCTGGCCCATATTAGCCGGAGGGCCTTCTTCCCTATGTACCGCTTAGGAATACGCGTAAAAGAGACATCTTTCTTAGTTAAGAGATATCTCTTCAGATTTTCAAAAAAGATATCTTTCTAAGCTAAAGAAATATCTCTTAAAATAATTAATTCTCACATTTAAAAAAAAACGAAAACAGGAAGTAAAGCCTCTGTAATTTTGCTGAAATAAGAAAAAAAAAACTGAGCATGATAAACCCAGAATACTAGTAATATACGTACTATGTATGTGATAGGGTGATTTATTTCTTATATTAATTATTATATTTCATGATTAAATTATTTCAGTTGAATTATCATATTTATTTCTTTTCAGCATTTCATTTATTGAATAAATCCACATGGAATTATTTACATCAATCTGTGTTCATTGAGTTATTTATAGATGTATGACATCACAGTGTTCATTCAAAGTCCTGTCCCTTTTCTTTTTATATTATGTAAAGTGTCAGGGCCAACTTGGATTTCATTGCTTGGTTTCCATCTCTTTTGGTTTTTAGCTTTGTTAATTAATTTGGTTTGAGATCTTGGTCTGACCAGCAGACATATTGGTTTTTGTGTATTTGTTTGTCTATGACTGAATTTATGACCATGACCAATTGCAAGACTGGACAGAATGTAAGTTGACTTTTACTAATTTCATTATCTCTATATAATTGTTTATCTATTTAATTCCCAAATATTAATATTCTAATATAAAGTATGAAGATTCAGTCTTTATTTTATGACTTTGTAAATAATGAAAGTAATGATTTCATATATCATTGTATTTTATATTTTTGAGAGCAATACAGTAAAGTTATGTATTATTGATATACAGATCACTGAATGAATTAAAGTTCACTCATCATTGTATATTTGGAGTGTACGGGCTTTATATCACATATAGGTATGATGTATATATATTTTGAATATTGTCCATTAATTATATTATTCTGGAAAAGTTCAGTATAATTGATCTGATTGTTTTATCTATAAATTCCAGAGCAGTTGTACTTTGTACATATTATTGATTAAGAAAGACAACTCTTAATGTTTTATTTATGAGCACAATTAAAGGGCAATAACTCTTATTTTGACTGTGCTATCTGGCAAGTGATCTTCAAGTAATGTATTGTTATAAAATATTTAATATTGTTTATATATTTCAGAGCTGTGATATTACTGTGAATACACTTATCCATAACGACAGCATGGTGTTTGTCATTATTTATAATCATAAAACGAACCCCATTTCATGTAGACAAAAATGCTAAAAATACCTTGTTTGAAACAAAAAATAATAATTGCAACTTCGTTGATAAAAATGCTAAAAGTTTAATATTAAGGAAAACGAAAGTAAACATAACATCTCCAATCCGATGGACCGAATTTTCTCAGCTTATGATATAGTAAACGGTCACTAATTTGAAATCTAGATAACACTGAATAAATTGTCATGTTTAGTGAAGCTATAATGTAGAATATCATGAATATGTCGAAATTTAAAAATAGTTTGATGTACTTCCGAGAATAAAAAGCTTACTTCCCGTAAAGGGAGAAGTAATTTCAAATGGAATTTAAATAAAAATAATGAAGAGAGATATCTCTTTACAACAAAGAGATATCTTTTTGCTTGAGAGATATCTCTTTTAGACACTTTTGAAAGACATATCTTTCACTTTGAGAGATATCTCTTAAGATAAACTAAGAGAAATATCTCTTTTACTTTATGAGATATCTCTTTAACTTGGAAAGATATCTCTAAAAGTAAAAGAGATATCTCTTTCGTGAAAAGAGATATCTCTTTAAAATTCAGAGATATGTCTTTTCACGAAAGAGATATCTCTCAAGGAGAAAGAGATATCTGTTCAAGTAGAAGAGATATCTCTCATATAAAAAGAGATACCTCTCCAAGTATAAGTGATATCTCTCTAAGTTTAAGAGATATCTCTTTCTCATAGTAATGTCTCTTAAAAATGAGAGATATCTCTTCAAGTTGGGAGATATCTCTGTTTTCAAAGAGATATATCTCTATCTCTGTAATTTTAAGATAAATTTTATTTTTCGAATAAATAGCAAAAGGGCTTGCCATAGAGGTACGTTTCTTTTCCCCATCATGTACAACGATATCAAATGAGCTCATTTGCTTCGTATAAATTTCCATTCGTGACTTTGTATCTATTTAGTAGTTCCGACGCTTACAATATTGTTATTTTAGTGCTTTACATATACATACTATTTTATCAATTATTACTTACTGTATTCTTGTAGATGCAGTCTGATTTCTGACCACGCTTGCAGAAAGGATTTTACACCTTGTTCAGTTTTACCATCATCTAAGAGATAGCATTAAACTTGCTAGAAAAAGTTAGTTTACAAATGAAAATTTATAAGTTTTCAAATAATTAAAAATATTTATTGTTTTAATGTAATAGAACATTCAATTTACAATAATAACAAACAGACGAATAAAAATTTTCACTTATAAAAAATTATACCAGTGATCAATCAAGTTATTGATAAATGGAAACTGAAAACTGACGTTATCTTAGATCATATTAAAAAAAATAATAAATCTTTGATGCAACGGACTTTGAAAAATTACGCATGCTGAATTTGTTTCAGATGCGTTAAATTTGCGACTGAGATAACACACTATGGGAAATTTTGATCATATTAAAGCACTTAAAATGTTCACGGTTTGGTCAATATTCTTGCAAATTTTCAGCTATAATAAATAATTATTTGAACCTGGTTGGATAACTTTTCGGTGATTTCGTAGTTTCAAGATCTAAAACAGACATTTACAAAATTTTAGGACTTGTTTCATCCCCAAAAATTCTAAAATGTTATAAAAAGAAAATGGATCTTTAAAAATAATGGAGAAATAATTGTCTAATAGCACCTTTATTTTATCCAGTCTGTAATAAATTCGGTAGATGTAGGGATCGATAAGCCACTTAAATAATAAGTATTGCATTTTTCTTAAGGAAATGGAAGCAATTATGATTTTCAATTCCATGACAATCCTCTCTCTTTCTCTCTCTCACTTATCTATCTATTAGTCTATCATGTTCATTTATTTATCTATTGTGAAAATATATGACACAATGATTGACTTTTTTATTGATAGTAAGAAAAATGAACCTCATTTTATACTTATTTTTAAAACTGTGCTTTGTGTCTCCCTGGTAAAATGTTGATACACACTTTCAAAAAATTATCCAAGTGCCTTGAATTTGTCCCAAATTTAACGCAACTCGAAAATGATCAAAATGCGCTGATTTTGTCCCAACTACAACGCACTCTGAATTTTTTTAAAGTGCTATTTTTTTCAAAGTTCAAAATTCTATTTAAATTTTAAATTGTACATGTAGCATATAATGAGAACTACCGTTTGATACGGAATCAATGTATTCCTGTATTGTCATCTTTTCCACATATCCAGGATCTACATGCCTTCTCAGACGTCTAAGAAGGGCATTTTGGAGAAGAATAATGTCTGGTAAGTATTTAAGTACTTGGAGTTCGTCAAACTGAAACCAAAAAAGAGAGTTAAATTTACATACGCTGTGTGTTTATGTGTGTATGAGAGAGAGAGAGAGAGAGAGAGAGAGAGAGAGAGAGAGAGAGAGAGAGAGAGAGAGAGAGAGAGAGAGAGAGAGAAAGAGAGCTAGAGCTAGAGAAAGAGAGAGAGCATACCATTTTCAAGTACAGTTGAAGGACATCACAACCTGAAGAACTATTTCGCCATGCCTCAAACTGAACACGGAAAGTTCTGAAAGACGTAGGTCTATAATATTTCCAGAGGGCTGGACATGAAATAAGATTCTCAGGAGTGACCCTACTTACGTCAACTTCCTCACTTAAAATTGTTTTCAATAGCTGATGCTCTTCTGAAATGAAAATTCAACAAAAGTTAAAAATGTTTATATTTGTATTTTTAAATCAAAGGTGCATATACAATCAAAAGGAAACATAAACAGTGAAAAAATAGGCGTTTCTGTACACTACATGCTTATTTATCAAAAAAAAAGAACTTTCAGGATATCATGTGTTTCATCATCTCAAAATAGGCGATACTAGTAATTAATCAAAGTACTCAGAAGTACAGAGAGCCGGGCTCATTTACAGAGTAGAATGGATTTCTTACATGAATCATGTTTATATTCTGATGAAAAAATTATTTTAAAACTATCAATATAAATGATAAGACACTGACAGTGAGTTTTTCAATCCTAATACCACAGTCCAATTTTGTCTGAATCAGAATTAATCTGGTACCGCAGCTGAATGTAAACAAACAGGCCAGTCTGGTTCCCCCTCCTGATTTACCTCGTATGTGTAGAGAACTACGGTAACACTGATTATCAAAAATCCTTACGCTAATGAACTATGTTCTTTGACTTATGAAGTTTTCAAAGTCATTACTACAAATTTTTATTTTATATAGATAAAACTTCGTTTTATTTTTGTTGCTTTATTTAGCGTTTGTATTATGTCAAAAGCGGTTGAGAGTAAGAACTATATTTTTGCACGTAACTTTAAAATGGCGACTATGGGGTCAACATCCTGCCTTGAACAGGATCACATAAGCCGGTAATTGCTCTTTGAGCAATAAGCCCGGCTAAAAACTGGTTTTACAGAAGACAATTCATGCCTTACCTTTCGTATTAGAATCCAAAGCTTTTTTCAGGTTTTCAACTTGATTTTTTGCATCCTGAAACAAATCGTAATGTAAAACATAATATTTGATGTCAGGTCTCAGTGGCGGATTTAAGGGGGGGCGCACCCGGCGCCCCCCCCTAAAATTGTCAAAGTTAACGTAAATCACAGTTTCATCTAGAAAATGTATATATGTGTACTTGGTAGACCTCATTTTTACCCTACAAAATCTCTAGAACCCAGGAGCTTCCGGGGGCTTCGCCCCCCTGGGCCCCCACCAGGGCTTTGCCCTGGACCCACTGGGGGCCTAAAGGCGGCCCCAGACCCCTTGCCTACTTTTGGCGCCCCCTCTAACTTCAATTCCTGGATCCGCGACTGGGTCTTGTGCATAATTACTCCGCTCACATGTTTTTGAACTGCTTCTTCGAAAATTGCAACATAAAACATTAAACGATATATAAGGCTGTACATTGTCCGATGCGTCTCAAAGACATAAATTAGGTAATGAATATGACAAATACACGTAATTAACTCCAATTAAGCCATCCTTTGTAATTATTTGACGCATAATTTTGATTAATCAATCAGAACTACAGTAGCTTCTTTAATACTTTGATATATATGTACAGAAGAATCCAAATGTCAGCAAAGTATAAATTCAAATGCACAAAAATATTGTTTAAAAATGTATTTCCATTGCACACAAACTAAAAATTAACAATTACTCCAAATTTTATTAATGTATACTATTGTAATCTTGTATATCTATCATGCACGTGTCCAACGATAATACAACAGGAATACATTCTTATTTAGTGTCTGTTAGATATGTGATTTCACATATCATTTTGAACGTGTTCTCCTTTTTTTCTTGCCGCTGAACATTTGGGGATCATTGTCAGCAAATCCTTTAGAATTATTCAATGAAAGCCATGTGTAACAGTACTTACATTGTATCAAGCTTATTAAACAACCACATGCCAAAATCTAAAGCTTATCTAAATAATACACGCCACCCGCGTGGCGCAGTGGTTAGATAGTCTGTTCTAGCATCGCGAAGTAAGGAGTTGATCCAATGGGTTCGAATCCCACTGTGGGACGTGGAGACCGTTTCTTCGGATGAGACCGTATAAATCTAAGTCCTGTGTCGCAGTAGGTGATGACACGAAAAAGATCCATCACTGCTCAATGGCCCTGAGTGCCAAGTATAGGACAAAATTTGCGGCTCTCTGCAGGCATGTAGTTGCGTTTCCATATGAGTGAAAAATTCTCGAGAGGGACGTTAAACAACATACAATCAATCAATCTAAATAATACGCCATTATTCTTGCAAAGCCTTCCTTAAAATGCTTGCTTTGAACGTTGCATGGTCATATCCCACTGCGGGAAGTAGAGACCCGCTCTTCGATAGCCATATTGACCGAGGTTCCAAGCCAGAGCAAAATCTCTAAAAAGATGCTTCACTGCACAATGTCCATAACTACCGAGTGCAATCCTAAATTGTAGCTATTCATCGACATATGTTTGCATTCCAATATAAGTGCAAAATCTTCTTAGGGTCGTTATGCAAGCAAACAAACGATTAATATTTATTTAGGTGCCACAAAAGGTATCCTTTATTCATTTAATCAGAAGTATAAGACATACTTGGAATCCCATTAGATTCCTGTTTTATTTCATCAATAAATCATCTTTATAAAAAAATTATAATTTTTATTTACTGCTTCCAAGTTAATGAAAAGAGCACCAGTCTGGTTTCTAAGTGACAATATTCATGTAACATATACATATGTAATGTTTCACTTCGTTTGGGTCGATTAAATTCTAAAGAAGAAATATTAAATTCTCCCTTTTTAACCTACCTGTGTAATGGGTGCAATTATTGTCTCACAGAAAATATTTTCCCACTGCTCTCTTTCCTCTTTTGTTTTCAAAGCCAAAACTGGACATGAATTATCTAAAATGAAGATGATAACCATTAGCATCAAACATTGATCATAATATTTCTGATAGAGCTCCATAAATTCCCACCTACCACGCATATTTTCGGCCATTTTTCGAGTCATGCAATGGAGAAGTAAGTAAGCGTCTTCGTGGGAAAGCGCAAATTCGTCTTTTATTCTGGATAAGTCTGCCTTTATTTGTTGCATAAAAAAATCTTCAATATTTTTTGTCTTTTTTCTCATCAGATTTTCAATAGCCTATGTTGAAAGATTTATAACCCACGTTAATATAACAAATTTTAATTGCAAATGTAAATGCACTTTAAAGGAATGTTGTTACAATAATAACTAATAAATAACACCAAGATATAGCAAAATATTACCTTTTTATTTCTTTTCCAACCAAAAAGCATCGCAGAGTGTAATAAGAATCGCAGTATTGCACTAGATAGATATGTAAGCTGCCTTTCTGGTTTCATGCGCCCTCTTTTTGATTCATCTAGGATGTACCCTATATCTCTTGCATCCCTTTCGTCAATTTCTCTGTAGATAGTCATTCAAATGTAAGTCTTCCTATAACTATGTTAATTTTTTTTTTTTACAGATTATAGAAAAAACTGACCAAAGAAAAACGATATATTGTACACATATTTCCATACCTTAATGTTATAAATTGCAATTTTCATATCAGTCTTATCAATTATGACAAAATATTAATATCTTCTTCATATTTTCCCATTGTCTTGTATAATCTTGTCAAGGAATTCACAATATTAATGACATTCAATCACTTTTTGAAATACTATATCCCCCTCCAGTAGATAACTCCAGTTTAAAGTGACTGTACGGCGTATCTCATTTTTTTTACTACTCATAAATGTATTTACTTTTGGAATATTAATAAAATTTTCATAAGTAAATAATTCTGATTATTTCATAAAAATTCATAATTATTTATGGTCTATAAATATCAACATCGCAACGTGTTCGAGCTTCCAAATTCCATGCATGCTATACACGCGCCTGCGTAGTTTTCATAACGAAAACAGCACGGTAAGAGAGGGAAGCCCAGTAGGCCTGCTACATTGACAAAGTCGATCAAAAAAAAAAAAAAAAAAGAAACTGAAAATACAGCTTGAAAAGCAACGTTCCTAAAAACATTTTTGGGAGATTAATATATTCTTTGGATGACGAGACACTCAGGCGGGGCTCGCGAAAGTTCTACGCTAAAGGGTATGTTGATATAAGCTCTCATATCTCGTATCTCCGTGGCTTTCAAAGAAAAAAAAAATCAATTAAATTCAACATAAAAATGCACCAATGACATACACTAGCATAAAAAAAATTATTGCCATATGAAGTGCAAATTGTAATGGAACTGCAGGGAAAACTATGGAACGCCATCACTGCCTTAGAGCAGAACACTACTTTTGCATTGTGTCAACCTTCCATTACATTATGTCAATTCTTTATGACATTAACCCACACTACTATTGCATTGTGTCAACCTTCCATTACATTATGTCAATTCTTTATGACATTAACCCACACTACCATTGCATTGTGTCAACGTTCCATTACATAATGTCAATTCTTTATGACATTAACCCACACTACCATTGCATTGTGTCAACGTTCCATTACATTATGTCAACTCTTTATGACATTAACCCACACTACTATTGCATCCTGTTAACTTTCCTTTACATTATGTCAACTCTTTATGACATTTACACATACTACAATTTTATATCGTCAACTTGCATTTCTTTATGTTTACTTTTCATGACAATCTTAGTTTTTATTTACTGATGTGAAAAGCTCATGCCATACTGTGCGCACTCTTCTACATTATGTCGATTCACTATTACGTTATGCGAACACGGGTATCCTCGGCCTTTATATGAGCATAACGTATTTTTCGCGTTCCGCAAGCACTAAAAATGGCGGGAGAGAAAACGATTCTCAGCGATTTCGGAATGACATCTTTAAATGAAAATTTTAAGCGAGAGATGATTGACAATCTTGAAACATGCAAAGCCTTTACACTGCGACTGTGAATTAAAGTCACGTCGAAATTCAATGGTGTTTACTTTAATCTGATAATTAATAAATCAAATATTATGAGTCGTGCAGCAATATTTTTTTTTCTTTTTATTTTGAATTTTTTTTTTTTTTTTTTTTTTTTTTTTTTTTTTTTTTTTTTTAATAAAAGTCTTAAACTTTGTAGGACATTGCATTAGTTTCACATTAAGTTTAGCTGAATTAAGTTGAAAACTTTTTTCTATAAAACTATAAAGCCTGAGAGCTTCTCCGCTTTCCGTCCTTGGTCTCCAACCATATACCGCCCCCTTCCTTGTTCAAGATTCCCATATCCGCCACTGATATGTGCCCATGCATGCTTACTAAGGCATATTCAATTGATTTAGATGAGCGACTGGTAGATTTTTGTAATAGAATTCTGGCCCTGGAATGATTAAAAAAATTACTAACTCCAGTGACGTAGCATCTTTTTTTGAAAGAGGAGGTCAGCCAGAAAAAAAAAATCATTTACCCAAAAAACTTGACAAGCCAAGAAAAAAAGTACAAGCCCGAAAATCATATTTCGGGGAGAGGGGTCCAACTCCGATCAGTCCCATTTTTCCCCAGATATATTACATTACCCTTAGTGGACTATACTTCAACAAGAAGTGGGGGCGGGGGCTGTACAGTCTCAGTGAACATTACATTTTCTATAGTAAAGTTTGTCTGGGAAAAGAGGGGGGTTGATATTATGTGCCTGTAATTTGTCCTAATTAATCAGGACCCCTCCCCCCTTCTTACCAGTCATTAACACACATTCATTATATACTAGATATACAGCTTTGAGATAATGTGAAATCAGGTAATGAACTTTTGGAATCAACATGATAAAGAGTTAACACAATATAAAGATATTTTTAAATCACATTAAATCACAGAAAGAGTTGACATAACGTAATTATATATCCACATCACGGAATGGAGTTTTGACATAATGTAATAAAGTGTTGATATAATATAAAGATATGTTCACATTATGTTATACAGTTTTTACACCACGTAATAAAGCACTGACATAAAGGTAAGATGTGTTCACCTCACATCATGATGCTCTCGCCGCAAAAAAAAAGATAAACCCATATCACGTAATAATGCTTTGACATAATAGAAATATACACTCTCAAAAAGGAATGGGCTTTTGACTTCATGTAATGATAAGTTTAATTATAAAACACAATTTACTTGACGTAATGCAATTTTGACCTCACATATTAAAGAAATTAAATGAAAGAAACATTCATTTCACGTATTAAAGTTGTAACACAATGTAAACACATTATCACTTCACATAATGAATTTTTTACTTCAAGTTATGAAGTGCTGACATAATGAAAGGATGTATTTACTTCATGTAATGCAGCATTGACATGATGTTAAGATATATTTACATCATCTCCTAAAAAATGGACATAACGTAAAGATATGTTTTCATCACGTAATTATAAATTGACATAATAAATGCATAGTTGTATGCTATAAGGCAGTGATGGCGTTCCATAATTAACTGTGACGTATATTTTCATCACCGGTGACGTACAGTCCCCAGTCTGCAGTACCTGCGATGTAGATCTGAATTCGCTGTGTACTTGAGAGTATTTAGAGAAAATGTAGCATCTAAAGATACGTAAACTTTGTAGAGAAGTTAAATGATACGCATAATATCTTCTACATTCTTAAAACATATGAGAAACCCTGTACATCACGAGTATGATCCATTGGTTTGCTTTCACTGATGTTTGAATTTTACTCAATTTTTTGTTTGTAACTAATCACTGATATGTATACCTATATGAAATACCATTTTTAACAAAAATAGAAACGTGATTTGAAAGATATAGATCTTTTATTTGGGTAGGGGTATCATGTTTACATCCAATTCCCATGGAATTTTGACCCCGCCCCACTCTTTGAAGCCCTTAAAATATACGAGCGCAGATAGGTACAACTTTCTCCTTTGGCTGGTCACTGTATTTTATTGAAATCTACCAATATGTGAAAGGAGAAAATTGTACCTAACTGCGCTCACATTCTATTTTTAAAAAATGTAAAATCTAGCTGGCCTTTTTCATTATGAACAGATCGACGGAACAAGATTTTCTGACGTAAGAATAAATTCATATGCTAATCGAGGCATTGGCGATACTCTAACTGACCAATCATCTAAATGAAATTCGTTACGAGTGAGTACCATAAAAATACTATGGAAACATGCTTGGAATTTTACTGCTCTTCGATAATGTTTTAATGCATTTGAGTCACAGATTAGACACGGATCTACATACTAGTATGTACAATTCCCAAGATAACAGTAAAATTTATATACAGTTACAAACAATTGATAAATGTACATTAGTTTAAAGTTTTGAAGCGTGTTTAGTGAGCAATTCGCTAGGTCTACACGTATTCCTGTTTTTGATTTTGTCTCTTCTAAGTTTACAGATGATCTTCCCAATAAATCTAAGGAATGTTAAGTAGTCTCAGATGCATTTTGTCTCAAGATTTGTACATGTACAAATTACTATTACAACTACAAGCGTTTTGCCATTGACAAAGTGTACATGTACAAAATGATACAGGTAATACTACTAAAGTCAAATAATTCTGCGTACATAATGGAACTACTCTTACTTGTAATTTGACGGCTTATATCGGCCATCGTATATTCCCGAGTATCAGTGAATACAAGTTTCATGTGCATTTCTTGTTCTAAAACCGTAAATGCTGAAAATCCATGCATATTATTAAATATAAACAGCCTTGGCTGACCATTATAAACGTTTGAATTGTAGAAAACTATAAAGATAAATTGACCTAAACCACGTGTCTGTACGTGATAAAATGTAGACGTAGTAAACCAGCATGTTTTGTTGTTCCGTCATCGGATTGGACAATGACTATGTGCGAAATAATAACAATAGCCATATAAGGTCTTCTCCGACATGCATATCCCTCTATTGTACTAAGACCCGCCCATTCTCTTGCCATAAAAGAACATATTCTCACAAACCTGGCCGAATTTAGCTGTGATGGGGTCTAAAAAATCAAAGATAATGCAGTATTCCTTATAATTAAAATGTGTCTGAATTATTGAAACTATTCAAAAGGCGTCGTATTTATTCACTCATGTTTGAAAACTACAAACATCGTTGTAGATTAAATATAATTCGTCGTGGAAAAAGGGGCCCCAGATAGCAGTTATGTCACCTCATCCTTTGAATGAAAAAGCACACGCTGTGCAGCCGTGTTGCAACCACTATTGAAATAACCACCACTATTGAAATAATTATTTCAGAAGTGGTTGAGAGTGCATTTCAATACCAAACATAGGTTGTAATCACTATTGAAATATGACCACTATTGAAAAGCTTATTTCAAGACTGGTGGAGAGTACATTTCAATTACAAACATAGGTTGCAACCACTATTGAAATACGACCACTATTGAAACTAGAGGTACATGTA